TCTGCCAATAGATCCTCCTGAATATTACACACTGGAGCTTTTTAAGCAGTAAAAATGTGCCCATGCATAGAATATGTTGCTAGCTCCCTTTTAGAGTTTTTCTCTCCATTATGTGTTTCATACTGTCTAATTGTAGCCAGATACTTATTGAATCACAGCAGGTTGACTTAAGGTCCCACTTGGTTGCCTCATCGGTGCCCAGGCACTGGAACAACTGCAGGCTTTTCATACTTTGAAAAGTATTTCCTGGTACTGAAAGTTTGGGGTACTTTTGGCAGGGTTACCATGAGTCCTGGTAAACCTGCATATTTAGAGATGTGTTGACGCCTGAAAATTGATTAAAATGACCACATATCCTGGAAATAATCAGTTTTCTTGGCAAATGTTAATTGTATGTTAGCCCCTCAGTCAGATTGCCTTCATTAACCTTTACTAGAGGAGAGGAAACCTGTAGTAAACCGTAGTCAAATCACTGGAGACGCTGTAGTGAAAACAGCTGACCACCTACCTGTGATGGACTGCATCATTAAAAAAGGAGAAATAAAATATAAACTTAAATGTATGCTGTCCTGTATTGTCAAGAAAAACTCCTGGAAAATAATTTCCTAAAAAGAAAGCTTTGTTTTGGTCTAGAAATGTCTTGTAAGTTTGAATTCTGAATGTTTTTATGTGGTCCTCTTTTTTGTTATCAGCTTTTTAAAAGGTGCCATATTACCATTAAGTTCCATTCTGATTGTCTCTTCAGATGTTAAGTTCATAGCCAGCCCCCCGTCCATGGTAGCAGCAGGCAGCATGGTGGCAGCAGTGGAGGGCTTGCAGATGAGAATGGTGGGCAACGCCATGATGTCTCAGAAACTGACAGAGCAGCTGGCGCAGACCATCAGGAGCGACCCGGTGGGTACATCAGTCTGTGATATGATGGTACATTCACACTCAACTGAAACGATCTCTGATTCTTAATCTAACCTGATCCGTCACTCTTCAGGACTGTCTCCGGGCGTGTCAGGAACAAATCGAGTCGCTGCTTGAAACCAGTCTCAGGCAGGCACAGCAACCACAGCAACCACATAATGCAGTTACCATGGAAACTAAGAACATCAGTGAGGGGCAGGACCTCTCGACTACGCCCACAGATGTCCGGGACATAAACATCTGATTGCCAGTCATACAGTGGGGTGAACTGGTGAAGTGGATGGTCATTCTGGACATGCTCAAATAACAAAAAGACACGCGGCTTTTGTTTGACATGATGTAGTGTGTGTTTTCCATCGCTCCGAAGTGACCGGACTCAACAGTGTGTCAGAACTGTTAACAACATGAAGTCCATTCTGAACTGTGGCGGGGGCCAGAAGGAGAGGCTGACTGGACATCATCTCGTCCAGGACACTGACAACCTTAAGACTGGAATTCGGCTCTCACTGCAGAAATGACTGTAAGAGTAACATGTGTTCACCTGTGGGTGACAGCTGGTGCCAGCAGGCTGCACCCACCAAGGCGTTGAAGGCCTATAGGTCTCTCTTAACCTACATCTCAGTTCATTAAAAGTCTTATCTGTTGATCACTGCCTCTGCACTGCAGAAGTCAACAGGTTACTCTTAAGAGACCTTTTTTAGGAGTAAAAGTGAGGTATTTCTACGTTTATCTTTTATCATTTTTAGCAGTTTGATAAATATGGGCCCAGACACTTGCCCTCTTACGGACAATAAAATGTGTTCTGTGATTAACAGTATGGGCTGTGAGACATGATGCACGACTGGCAAAAGAAAAAAAAGAACAACAGTAGAGGTTTCCACATTGGACCAAAAAAAGCACATATGGTTATGTGCTATTTGACTAATAAAATATACCTTAGAAGTACCTAGAACAAAGTGAAACCGCTGTTCTAATGTGATGCAGTGTAATGCACACTTTATACCACTAGAGGGAATGCAGATATATGCTGATGCTGATGTTTATCTGGGTGCTGTTGTTTCTGGTTGCTTGTCCCATGTCAGTCCATTGACGAGTAATGTCATTACAAGCTATTGCAACTCTGAATGAATGCATAATGAACTGTTTTTCAATCAGACAGGAGAAAAATACCTTTTTTTAACTGTACATACAGCAAGTCTTTCTGTTCTCCAGGAAAAAGCAATGAAGCAGTACTAGTTTTGTAAAGTGTACTACTGTAATTTGCTCTCATATTTATTATTTCTTATCACTTGACTTGTACAGTGCTAAAAGTTCTTCTAAAAAGTGGAAATTCTGTCAAAGACTGCTTTTCTGTATTCAGCTACTCTATACATAAACACATAACAATGGTCCTGAATGGTCTTGAATAGAGAAACCACAACTAAATACCTACACAGTGGTATGAGTAACTTTTTATTTTAATTTTTTTAGGGTACTGCCCTCATGACATAAGCTCGTATCAGGTGAAGCTCTGTGTTGGTGCACTGTTTGTCTGTCTTAGCACAGAGCATAAAGATGAATTAAAGGAAAACTGTCTTATGAGAGCCTGTTGGTGTTATATTTGTGAAACTCTACACTGTTAAACAAAATTTAAAAAAAGGGAAAAAATTATATTCTGGCAGCTCTTTTCTATGATTAAATACAGTATTAATACAATTCAGTTTTACAGTTAAAAAATCTATAATTTCTTGGCTTTTGGATATTTGCACATGTAAAAACAATGAAATTACCTTGCTATAATACAAATAACCAGGCTTAAATTTTATTGATGATTATTTATTGTTGATTTTTCTTATCTTAATCATAATACTTAATAACTAATAATAA